ACCATAATATCAAACAATATCTTATGTTTATTCTATTACTTTCAGTTACTCTTTTAGTTGTATCTCTCTACTATAAATAAACTACCCTATGTGTGATTTATACACAAGGGAGATTAATCCCAAACTCTATTTCTTCTATATTCAACATGGTATCTAGAGCTTAAGGTTATTTTGAATTTTTTTTTTTCGCCTTTGACCACTATTGAAGTCGCCACCACCGCCACTATCGTTGTCGGTTATTTAGTAGTGTGAAAGTGCATGTCTAGGAAAGTTCTGACAAGGAAAGACTTGGTATTTAAGCATGTCCATTAGTGACCCACCTCTCTTTCCTGGGAACTTACCTGGTGTACTGGTTCACGCCGCTGTCACTATCGCCTCTGCCATTTATGAGTTCTTTCGCTCCTTTTAGTACTTCCAATTCTGTCAGTACTATGTCTGATCCTTCCATCTACACTAACTATGTTAATGTCCACTTATCCATTGACAAGTTAACTAGCCCTAATTATGTCACACGGTCATCAGACGTCAGATTATGGCTTAAGAGTCAGAAGTATCTTGATCATCTTGCCCCGAAAGCACCTACTCTCACTCCTGGTGAGGAAGACCGTTGGGACACCATTGATGCTCAATTATGCGTGGTTCTCAAGGGTACTCTTGATCCTTCGTTAAAACAAATTTTTCGTTCCTACGAAACATGTGCCAAAATTTGGGAACATGCCAAGTTATTATACACCAATGATACTCAACGTCTCTATGATGTCTGCTCTAAATTTGTAGATGTTATTGTCTCTAAACATCAAGATTCTATGACTGATTATATGGGCAAAATTCATGCTCTTTTTCATGAGTTCAATGAGTTATTGCCTCCTTCCCCCGACCCTGCCACCGAGATAGGACAACGATCAAAGTTCTTCATGCTAGGGGCATTACACAGACTTGCTGATCAATATTCACATATTCGTGATTAGATTTTGGGTTCTCCGGTTGTCCCCACCTTGACATCGACCTGCTCCACTCTTTTGCGTATACCAGCAAAACCCAACCCTGATACACATGCTTCTGTTAATGATTCTTCTGCATTGGTATCTCACCGTGATGATCGAACTCGCCCTCGCAAACAGGGAAAAGAGCGTCCTAAGTGTGAACATTGTGGCAAGCTAGGTCACAAGATTGACCAGTGTTATGCATTACATGAGTGTGAACATTGTGGCAAACTAGGTCACAAGATTGACAAGTGTTATGCATTACATGGTCGTCCTACTCGATCTACTGTAGTTGCTCAGACTGATATTTCCCCACCTTTATCTGCTAAGGATCCTCCTTCTTCTATTTCATCGAGACACACCTGCTATGTTCAACAAATTTCTCAAATGGTATAAGGATCAACAGTCTTCTAGTTCCACTGTGTCCGTCGCACACACAGGTACATCTTTTGCTGGTCTGACCCAATCTTCTTCTGGTCCTTGGGTTTTTGATTCAGGAGCCACTGATCATATTACTGGTAACAAATCTTTGTTCTCCTCTTTATCCTCTCCTGATCCTTTACCTTTTGTTACACTAGCTTATGGCTCTAGAGTATCATCTCATGGTGTTGGAACTGTTAAACTTTTCCCTTCTTTAACCATTGATAATGTTCTTTATGTCCCTAGGTCTCCTTTTAACCTGTTATCCATCAGTCGTCTAACTCGTTCTCTTGATTGTGTTGTTTCTTTTACCAACAATTTTGTGTGTTTACAGGACCGGAGTTCGAAACAGGTGATTGACACAGGATGTGAGTCTCATGGTCTTTATCATCTTTGTCCCTTTACACATGTTGGTGCAGTTATAGAGTCTCCCTCTCTTCTCCATGCTCAATTAGGTCATCCAAGTCTTGCCAAGTTACAGCAACTTGTCCCTGCCTTATCTAAATTGTCTAGTTTGGCATGTGAGTCGTGTCAATTAGGCAAACATAGTCGTACTTCCTTTCCTCGTAGTGTCACACGTGGTGCTTCGTCCCCTTTTGTCGTGGTTCACTCTGACATTTGGGGACGTAGCCGCGTTAAGTCTACTTTAGGTTTTCAATACTTTATTACTTTCATTGATGATTATTCCAGATGCACTTGGTTATTTTTGATGAAAAATCATTATGAATTATTTCATATCTTTCAAACTTTTTTCAATGAAATTCAAACTCAGTTCGGTGTTTCTATTAGAGTTTTGCGCAGTGATAATGGTCGTGAATATCTTTCTCATTCTTTTAAACAATTCATGGCTTCTCATGGTATTTTGCATCAAACTTCTTGTGCTTATACACCTCAACAAAATGGTGTAGCCGAACGTAAAAATAAACATCTTATTGAAACAACTCGCACTCTTTTAATTCATGGAGAGGTTCCTCAGCATTTTTGGGGTGATGCTCTTCTTACTGCATGTTATCTTGTTAATCGCATGCCATCTTCGGTTCTAGATAATAAAATACCTCATTTCATTTTATTCCCTCATGAACCACTTCATCCACTACAAGAAAAACACTAAATAGTGACCGAAAATTCGGTTACTAAATGACCAAAATCGGTCACTAACTAAAATAGTGACCGAAATAATGACCAACTAGAATCGGTCACTATTTTCTTGGTGACTATTTAGTGACCGATTTAGTGACCGAATCAGTGATCGATTCAGTGACCAAATCAGTGACCGATTCAGTGACCGATTTAGTGACCGAATCAGTGACCAATTTAGTGACCGATTTAGTGACTGAATCAGTGACCGAATCAGTGACCGATTCAGTGACCGAATCAGTGACCGAATCAGTGACCGATTCAGTGACCGAATTAGTGATCGATTTAGTGACCGAATATATATGACCAAATCGGTCACTATATCAGTTACTAATTTTATTTTAATTTTTTTATATTATTTGTAAAATAACGATAAACCCGATTAAGGAATATAAAATACATTATATATATATATATATATGATATTAAATATATGAAAATTTCACTACCTAAGATAACTATCAAAATAATACCACAAATTTTGTTCTAAATAAATTTGTCATTCATTAATTAAATATTTTCTTACATATTGAAAATTCAATCTAAAAGTAAGTAGAATAAACTACAATAAGAGTCAGAATTCTGAATATGTCAGAAACTAACAAAAAAAATACAATATACAAAATAGAATCAGTTCACAATTCAGGAGGTTGAACATCCATCTTCTGTAATTCATCAGGCGGAGAGCCTCCTGCAATAGATCCTGATTGGGAGGCTTCTTTCCATGCACGACTAAACTCTGCCTATAAACATTAAAATAGAATAGTAGTGAATTGGATAAAAACATAAAAAAGGATACAATTGTTTAAGAATCATAGCTACTATAAAAACATGAAGATATTCAATCATGATGAGCCAATGAAACTAAAACATGAAGAATCATAGCTACTATAAAAATAAATGTTTGAGAAAAAGTAAATCAGAACTGTAGAAGTTATTGGTCAACCTGTTGCAAAAGGTTTGGTGATGATATCACTATGCTAACCAGTTTTGGGGTAAATAGAGTTAGCAGCCAGTGGTTAGTGCATTTCCACAAATACTGGTATCAGTTTCATATTGACTAAAATTAAATTGGGAAAACAGAATGAGATAAAAATAAGAATAACTGGGGTTTCCATTTTTTTTGTAAAAGAAGATCAAGTGTGCCCCTTTCTATGTTCATTATCTATTTCTATTTAGCACACTAACTTCCACTTCTCTAAAACACACACAAACACAACACCATATTATATCATCACAACAACAACTACTACTAATTATTTTTTAGCTTACCCTATACCTCATAAAAATGATGAAAATGAACATGACTTCTGAATACATAAGTAAAATAATTGCCTCTTATTATGGACTGTGCAAAGACTTAGGACCGTGTAAAAGAAGATTTTTTAATAGTTTGGTCAATCAAAATATACATTAACCCATATATAGGTATTTGAATGCTATATTAATTTATTCTTGGGCAACCATAGAGGAATTTGCATATTGAATGATTTCCAAATCATAGAGGAAATGTTTTAATCTTTGGCTTCCATAGCCATCTTGTTTTATGAGAAAAAAGAAATTATTTTTTTTATATTCTAAAATAACCATCACCCTTGTACTGAACAAGCAGTTACGTTAGCTTTCATAGCCATCTAAAATAACCTTCACATGTTATATAACCATCATCCTTGTACTGAACAAGGTTCACAACAGGGCACTCAAAAACTCTTCCCCTGAATGTATCCTGAACAAAAGTATAAAGGCTTAGTTTGTATCCAATAATAAGCAGACACAGATGGACCATCATACATCATGTCCAATGATACTAACTATGGGGGAGGGGAATGGTAATAGAAATTCCTTATTTTATACCTTGCAAGCAGTTACGTTAGCTTTTTTGTCTTCCCAGCTATGGACATTTTAAAGCAAATAGTGTCCTAAGTTCAACTAAAAATGCTCCAGCTAGCAATTCCTACCCATGTAAAACAAAATTCAGATTCAAAAAAACAGAGTGACAGAAAGCAATTAGTACATAAACAAGCAATCTCTAAAAAAACAAAAACTATATTACAACACTCATAAAAAACATTCTCCTATTAATCGTCATTTCATTGAACCAAAGTGAAACTATAAGTGCAAAGCTTGTAATTTCCCCCATGATTACACTACATTTAGAAACCAAAACATTTACAAGACAAAATAACAAAATAAAGAATGAACAAACAAACTCAAGTATGAATAAGTGCATCTTGCCGCAACTTATGAGAATTTGGCATCACAACAACATAGTCTGAATAGGACCCACAGTCCTTAATAACAGTCCAAAATGGCCCATAAGAAAAAAAATAACCCCCAACTCAATCCAAATCCCAGACAAAAGCAATCAATAGTCGAGAACGATAAACTCAACAACAGGTTTCCCCACAGATGCTAGCAATCAAACAAAAGTAAAACCACAAACAACAGAATGCAAAGAAAATGAACTTTGTACCCAATAATGTCTCTGGTTTCGATTTCCACCTGAGATCCCTGTCAACTCCTCATTCACAGGGAGAGGCATTCGGCCATCCCCTTTTCGAGTCAATAGTGGTGCGACAAAGCGAGACCGGGATGATTCACGGTGGTCGGCGTGGGGCGAGTCGTGGCCGGGGCTCCACGGTGGTGCGCTACTTCGTTGAGGGTGACCGGTGAGTGTTTGGCGCAACCGGGCGTGAATCGGCTTGTGGTGGCTCACGGTGGTGCTAACGGGTATGGGTCGCGATGGGGTTGCACCGCGCGTGCTAGGGTTAAGGGTGGAGACCGTGAGAGTGGAGTTTGCAATGGAGAGGAAGGAAGGGTGGAAAAGGCGAAGGCGCGGTAGGGTGATTTGGGGGTTGCGACTCCGGTGAGGGGAGAAGCGGGTTTGGTTGGGGTGTCACGGTGGTGGCTAGGGAGAGGTGGCGAAACCGCAGCAACCACTACAAGAAAAATCGCTTTTAACGACCGAAAAAATCGGTCGCTAATGACCAAAATTCGGTCACTATTCCGTTAGCGACCGAAATTAGCGACCGAAATGGTTGGTCGCAAAAGGGCAAGTCGCTAAGTTGTTAGCGACCGATTTACATTTCGGTCACTAAATAGAGACCGATCTGGTGGTCGCTAAATAATTTGGTCACTTATTCATTGGAGACCAAAATAGCGACCGAATTAAGTGGTCGCTAAATCGGTCGCTAAATCTGTGGTAAAGTTTTAAAAAATAGCGACCAATATATTCGGTCGCTAATATATTAATATAATTATTTAAATAATAATTAAAATCGGTCGCTAAATCGGTCGCTAAATTGGAGACAAAGTTAAAAATAATAGCGACGGATATAATCGGTCGCTAATATATTAATTGAATTATTTAAATAATAATTTAAATCGGTCGCTAAATCGGTTGCTAAATTTGAATTGTATATTATAATAAATTTGTAACGACCAAAAATTTGGTCGCTAAATCGGTCGCTAAATTAATAACAAAGTTAATTATTTTTATTTATTTACATTTTTAATTATATCAAGTTCATTAGACAACTTTTTTTCTCCAATTGGACACAATTGTATTACATAATGAATGCTTAGTAGTTAGTAGTTAAGATGCATTCTCATCCATGAAATGTGGACCAATTGGTAAAAACAATAATAAATTAATAATAAGATGACCCGAATAGATATTGGTGCATCCATATTTAAATTACTTTTTCCATTCCACTATCACTCGGGATATGAGTCTTGATCATGAACCAGAACTAGAGGTTTATTCCACAATTGAAGACTTCAAGCAACAGTTATACCAACATGGAATACATGTCAAGCGAACACAGATATATGACGAAGGGATCAGCAGCTAGAGGACCTCCAAAAAGGTGGAGAAGTTTGCATGAATTTTTCTTGAATGCTTGGGAAAGGTATATAAGGAAACCTTTTGATTCAGATACATTAAAATTTAAAATACTTCATGAACAAGTGATGGCTAGGAAAATTTAAGCTAACCGAAATAATCTGCATGTTCTCACCATGCTCCATCTTTTGATGATCTTGCTTCAAATTCCAACTCGATGGATCTCGCATAACTTCTGTAAAACAATCAGTCCGTGTACAATCTCACAAGATAACTCATTTTATTAGAAGTTTCCTCAAATATATCAATAAATACAACTCGTAGCAGCTAGCTATACAAAAATAGAAGGAAAATAGAAAGTGAAAAAAATTTTATGGTGGGAATGTTATTATCACTTTCATGTTCCTTCATTACTGCCAAGTTATTCCTCATCTTCATATCATATTATCTTCTACCAAACATGTTCCTAATAACATAAAACAGACTTAACGTAAAAGTCATCACTTAAGCAACAATGGTAGACACTGCAATTATATTAAATAATTCAATGTTGAATATTTGAATATGTGATGACAGTACAACATAGACACGAGAGACATAAAATAAAATAGGCAACCTACCATAACTCAAGCAACGAATGAAAAACACCGCAATTATATTAAATAAATCTAATGTTGACCATTTGAATACTTGAAGACAACATAATAACTTACTATGCTAAGAACCATAAGGTCCACCGGAAGACTCACCTTCCTTACATTTAGGAACCATCAACTCACCTGTTAGGGACTAGTGCTAAGTCTTGGAGCCTAGCCCGAAACCAACTTTCAATCTAGAATTTCTCCAAAATAAAGGATTAATTAAAAACTACATAAAAAAAGGCACAACCATCTAAGAATATAGGAAAAGGAAAATAGCAATATTTGAAGGATGCCGCACAGGAACCCACGGAAATAAAATACATGAGTTAGTGAGAAAAAACATTAACCTCTGTCCATTTTATAACAGAGCTTCCAAGCACGACCCGAGGAACGATCGCACAAACATCACATTCCAACACTCCTCAATGACAATACTTCTTCTATTATTGGAAAATAACCTAACAACCAGATGAAAAGCGTAACTCACTTGAAACTTCCAGCAAGTTTTTGGTAGAATTCTCTCGTCCAATGATCCTCCCTTAGGTTCCTTCAAGAAATTCTCCATTTTCTCAATCTGTTTGTCGAGCACAAGTTCAAATCATTAACAGGACATAAGACACCTTCTGCATTCTATAACCAAGGTTTTAAAAAATGGTATGCAATCAAGGTTTTTAGACTCGTCCACAACTAACCAGCTTTAAACCGAGACCCACACACAATTCATCCTTAACCAAGGAGAACAATCCACAGTAAAAAGGCATAAAAGAAATAGAACATAGCAACAAAATGTGAACCGAAGCGCTTGACCCGCGACCTCTCCGACTCACCTCTAGTTCGCGGGGAACTCAATGGCACGATTGGGGCAACTGAGGCGTGGAAAGACCTCGATGGTGGAGGTTAGGTTGAGATTTAGGGATGGCCACGATGGTGGCCAGGGAGGCGGTGGTGATGACTGGGGTGGAGGTTGGATTAGGGTGAGGGCTGACTTGGGGGGAGCAGTGAGGGGGCTAGGGCTCGCCGGGAGTGAGGAGGAGATACTGGCCAAGGTTAAGAGGAATGGGTGAGTGAGGCGCGAGAGTTAGGGTTATTTGGGGATAAGTGGCGCGAGACAGGGAATTGAAAAATGGGGTTATATATAATAGCGGTTAAGATTTAACCGCTATTAGAAGTGCTATTATAATAGCGGTTAAGTTTTAACCGCTATTAGATAGCACGTCTAATAGCGGTTAAATCTTAACCGCTACTATATATATTCAAATATGATCGATCATTTGAAAATGTAATCGATCATAACCAAAAAATGTGGATTTCGCTCGAGCGAGACACTGTCGCTCAAGCGAAAATCAACCCGAGAATGCCAATTTTGTTCATGTGGCGTCGCTCGAGCGAGACCAGTGTCGCTCAAGCGAAATTACACCCGAGACTTCACAATCTTAAAATATGGTTGTATATGATAGCGGTTCCACAGGAACCGCTCTTAAATGGGAACTTCTAATAGCGGTTAAACCTTAACCGCTATCTAACATGCACTTTAGATAGCGGTTAAGGTGGAACCGCTATCTAATCCTCTCAACTATGATCGATCATTTCAAATTATGATCGATCATAATCACAACTTACATTAACTATTTTCTTGAATATTATGTTTTTAAATTTGCTATTAGAGAAAACCTTTCAGAATTTAAAATGTTAAATACTTTTAAATATTATAATTAACTTTATAAAAAATTAGGAAAAAAAATAATCCAAAAGAGTTCAAAAATGTATTATAATATTCTCAATTTTGAGTTTAATTATATTGTTCATTCTCAAAGTAGAAAATTATATTGTATTTATTTTAATTTAATAAAATATAATTTAAATTTTTAATACTAAAATTAAAAGATTAAATAATAATGAATTTAATTCTTTAAATTGAGTATTTAGAAAGTCAAATTATAGTTTCTCTGTTTTAAATAATTAAAATAAATAGTTAAAAATAAAAATCAAGACTAGTATTATCTTCAATTTATTAAAAGTGTAATCAAATCTCTATTTGCTTAGTTTTTTTTGTTTCAAACTTCTCAATTCTACATTTTTGTAACTTCTATCATTATATTATCATCCTCATCTCCTCCCATGTTCAACTTTATCTTTACAATAGTTAATATTCTTAAATAATCTATATTTTTAATTATAATTTTTGAATATATATTTCAGAAATTAATCAATTCTAATCTATTATTTGAAAAACTAATCAATTCTAATCAATAATTTACAAAACTAATCGATTATAATTAATTCTTTGAAAAAATTAGCAAATATGATCGATCATTTTGAAAATCTGATCGATCAGAGTCAAAATCTTGTTGTATATGATAGCGGTTCCACTGGAACCGCTTATTATATGCTCACGCTTAAGAGCGGTTAAAATATTAACCGCTCTTAAAAGTGCCAATGTCGCTCGAGCGAGTCCAATGTCGCTCAAGCGAAATACAACCCGAGAATGTCAATACCAGGGCTACGTCCAGTCTCCAGCCAAATTCCAGCTGGGTTCCACTAGATCAAATGTTTTACAGATTTACAATCTTACACTTAATCTACCACAAGAACCAAATTCCAGTTCCTGCACTCAACCTCTCACCAAGAACCAAATTTCAGTTCTTGATAACCTCTACAACCAAATTTCAGCTCGCAGAGAAACCAAGTGCCCAAATTCCAGTGCACCAAACAATACAAAAAGAATGTAAAGAAATGAAAAAGAAGAAACTAGAATGCTCAAACCAAGTGTATGCAATTCCGCTGTAAGTGTTTCTTCTTCAAATGAAATCAAGTTGCCTCAAGAAAGATTTTCAAAGAACTTCTCAAAAACTGACGCGAATCTTTCTTGAAAAGAGTGCTAAAGTTTGCTTGATTGATTGCTCAAGGATGTGTAAAAACTTATGTGTAAAAAGTTCAAGCAACTCTGTTTTTATAGAAGATTTTCAAAATAGTCTGTATTAATTAATCTATTAAAAGATTCTTTTAATCTGTTAAAAGTGCAGTTTTAATCTGTTAAAACTTCTTTTAATCCATTAATACGTTCTTGATTCTTTAACAGATTTGTTTTAACTGATACGACAACGTTTATATCAATTAAAACACTTTACAAAAAATTTTCTAAGTTGATTTAATCGATTGTTTCGCGATTCAATCGATTGAAATACCGCAAAACTTTCTTGTAAAACTTTTCAAGTTATTTTAACTGATAAGAATAAGTTTTAATCGATTAAAACGCTGTGTAGGGAATTTCTAAGTTTTTTAGTCGATTGAAACGAGATTTAATCGATTGTAAAAGTTATGATCGGTCATAACTCAATTCTGATCGATCATCCTGAA